CAGCCCCATCCATTCACCATGTGTGGGACCTCCTAGAGCTGCAGCCAGGCTCTGGCTGTGCTTGCACACGCTCTACACTTGACCCATCATTTTGGCAATGTCACCGACTTCGGTCCAATTACAGCAGTCATGAATTGGACCCTGTTCACCCCCTGAAACTGCCACAGCTTACGGCTGCGGTTCAGACAGTTACACAATGAAACCATTCACACGACTCATTAACTCCGGACTATGCATTGAAAATAACTGTGCCATATGAGTCTCTGGTTAAATTTTCTCAGTTTATGTCATTTATAGGTACCTTCCTGTTCATAACAGCAACTCTAACCATGTAAAACTTTTTTTGTGCTGTCAGCATAGGAGAAGTGGAATGTAGAGCACAATATAATAATTTATTATTTATTTAGTGTAGTTAATTGTAGTCATCCTAAAGAATATAGGCTATGGAAGTATTTTAAATCCAAGCACAAAGATACAGGCATGTGGCCAACCCCTCCAAGACACCAGTGGGCCTTTGGTTGTGTATTTTATACTTTTTGAAGTTTATTTTTAGTGTTTTTTTTTTTTTTTTAATTTATAATGGCAGTAAAGCCAAGTCCAAGTTTCCAAGTAAGAAAGGTGTAAAGGCACTTGGAGTTCAATAAGGCTATCTTGTTGCCTACACATGGGAAGACAAAAGGATCCTCTGCTTATGTAATTTATATGACTATATTTCTCTGCTGAGTGCCAACAGCAAACCTTGTGTTGTATTTGTCTGTGCTCTTGTATTAAGGTTTTTGTGACAGATGCAGCACAGGGATTTCTGTGTATCACAAAGTGCTTACAAACTAAAGCCCATGTCCAAAGCCTCAAGAGGCACAATGGAGGGATCATTGCAGAGACGGCTTTGGGGAGTTAATTTTAGTTTGTGCTGCAGTAGAGAATCTATGGCAAATTCTAGAACACAAAATCTTGTCCAAAAAAGGCAGAGATACAGTGAACCCCATGAAATGAAGCAGAGACAGGACAGACCAGGACAAAGAAAAGAATGAGCTGTCAAGCTTGGCATTAATAATAATGTGTAGCAGGGAGAGAAATGGACAAGCCTGTGCCAGGGCAACTTTACTAGATGCTGCAAAGGAGGTCAAGGGATGACCTTCACAGTATGTGATGAGGATACCCAAGTGGGTTATGCACTTAGAGCAATGCTGTAAGTAAAGCTTTGCTGGCAATCATTTTGTGCTTCTGAGGGGTAACATCAAGAGGACACCATAAAAAAAAAAAAAAAAAAAAAAAAAAAAAAAAAAAAAAAAAAAAAAAAAAAAAAAAAAAAAAAAAAAAAAAAAAAAAAAAAAAAAAAAAAAAAAAGAGAGAAGAGAGAGAGAGAGGATGTCATCAATAAGATATGAGCTAGATATGCTTTGGAGGAATGTCAGGATAGGGAGACGCTAGGATAGAGGACACCCAGCATTCTTGCAATTGTAGTTTATAGAAGAAGAACATCCAGAATTTGATCACTGCTCAGATGTCTGTTTGGGGAATAGTCAGTCCCAGGTCCTGAGCCTGCAGAAATATTTCTAGGAGGAAGTAAAAGTTAAAAAGTTTAGGAAGAAAACTTAAAAACCTCCTGTTCACCTGTGCTGACCTCAAGGCATCTGCAATCTATCCAAAGCAATGCATCAGAGACAGGCTCAAACATACAGTGGAACAGTTGTGGGAGAGTAGATTTTTAAGTCAGAAGCAGAGAAATAACAGGTACAACCCAGAGCAGATGCAGTGGCAATCCCAGCAGGCACCTTGTGTTCTCTCCATCCACATTCTGCACTGTTGCAATGTGGCACATCTTGCTATAACAAAAATAATAATTTACCGAGAAAATTCCTCTGTGGCCACTCATTCTGTCACCCTGCCCAAACCTAGACCAGTTTTATGTGACACGGATAGATTTTTCCTAGAAGGAGAGCCTTACTGCAGCACATTTTTTATTTGGTATTAATTTACTGACATTTGCTGACATTCACAACCATTCCCACAACTTCTTGAATAAAAAAAAGATGTCGGGTAGATGGAGGCATTCTGTGGAATTCAGGTATGGATTCAGGTCAAAATCATGAAGTACTTAAAGTAACAGATTTGATATGTTCAGCAAACTTGCACTTTTGTACATGAGGCAAAGACCAAAGCTCTTCATAAGGGTATGTTGTACTTTTGCATCTTATTCAAAGCTCTCTCTTTCAGTAAGGTACACGGCTGAAGAGGTCACCTGTGTTTGATTTGGAATTATAAAGTTTGTCCATGATTAAATATGAAAGCAAGTCTACAAATGAAACAGAGAGGGCTTGAAACTTAGGTCTGCTTGTACAGTGCATGTTGAAAAGCCATTTTGAAAGGCATTTTAAATTCTGCTCATATCTTGTTGCCAAATCATCAGTGGTTTGACTCACACATCAGAGTTTTCATCAAAAAAAAAAGCTTCAGATGAACCTATTTACGTAGGAAAAGGTCTTTCAAAACAACTGCACAGAGGCCAGGATCAACACCTGAACACGGGCTGAGTTGTTACATTTTTAGAATTATTCCTTTCATTAAAGGCATGAGGGATATCTCAGGCATCTTGGGGCCTGATTCAGAGTTGTAACATCCTAAACCAGTAATTGCTCTGCTGGGTGAAATCCTGCCTTTATATTTTCACGGCTTCTTCCCAACTCCATGAAGGAAAGCCCACCTTGCCTATGGTGCTGATGGCTGTAGTAGCAGCACTGCTGAATGTTATGGTCCAGATTTTCTGCAAGAACAAGAACAGGGGACCCGTAACCTTCTTTCCATCTGGCTGCTGCTCTGGCAGTGAACAGGGTCATAAAACTAAAGGTGGTTGCTCAAGCAACTGGACTGAATGTCCGAGAGATACCCTGGATTAAGAGCCTTTTATGTGCTAACTACTGTTGAGCTCTTTTCTGCAATTAGGTAGCAATGGAACATTAAGGTGGGGGAAAGCACAAACTTTTGTGACCAAAGAAATCACGACCCCAGGAAGGGAGACTACAAAGTGGGGTGGAAGCAGTCTGGTCCTAGAGCGAGTGCCTACCGAGAAAACCTGGGAGAAGGAGCAGCAGAGTTGGGCTGGGGGGTCTCAGAGCTAAGAACATTTTCTTTACTGTTTTAAAAGAGACTTTTAATGGAAAAAAGATCTGGATCAGAAAATGCATCAGTCTGAAATAAAACATTTTGACTTCATTCTGTCTCCAGTCACTCATCCACTTTCTGCATTCCTCCCTATGCGGGGCCTCAGTGTTATCACTGCAGGAGCAGAGATGTTGCTGACTTGGAAGCAATGGGGAATTACGTGCAATGGGGAATTACTTCTGCAAATAGATCATCTGAGGTGCATGCTTCAGAAAATGCACCTAAGGAGCCAAGTGTTTTCTCTCTGTGATTTGGAGCAGAGCTCACTCACTCTCTAAAGTTCTTCAGTCATCAGTGGCACCTCTGTGATGCTTGAGAAGGTTTAAGTAGCCCTGTCATAATGTCACCTCCACTCTCCAGGAATGCTGATAATCTTTCTGTTGCAAAAGGCTTTATCTGGACCTCATAGTGCACAGGCAATTGTTTACAGCGTGTTCCCCTCTCACTGGAGAGATCCCTTCAGGGTGTTTGGTTCCTCTGTTTTGAGTACCCTCCCCAGCATACCAATCTGACAGGGCAGAAGGAAGGAGGGACATCCAAACCTTTAAAACATTTTTAGTCAATTTGCAAGAAAGCAACAAGGATGATTGTTATGAAATCTTTGCCAGCTGGGAAGGATCTTCACCAAGAATGCTAGTAAATCTCTAGCCGTGTGGAAAAAAACTTTCTTTATGTGAAACTTGTAAACTTACTCCATAATCTGATCACTTGCCCAATGAGAGGGCGTTGAGCCCTGTTTTTGGTCCCGGACATAGCAGTATAAACAAAGCACAATTTGATCAAAGTCACTAGACCAGCAGAGGAGAATGCACAGCATGACTGTGAGGAACATCTGGCCTGATGCAGTAACAAAATCTGGACCAAATGGATTTCAAGCATCTCCCCTTTGCACCTATTTTAGTCTATGAGAAGACAGCCAACATGTATAGAGATATTCCTGAAATGACTGAAATAAGTAAGGCCACAAAGCCTTGTACTGAGCACAGTGCTGCACACACAGACTTTGGAGTACTCAAGCCCAGAACAGCTTACAATAAACCATCTAGTGGGATCCAGGATTTGGCCATTCCTTCTCAGGAACAGCTGATTTCAGCCAAATTAACTGTGTTAAGATGAAAAACTTCTTGCTGACAGGTGTTCAACACTGAAATTATTTAAAATGCCAACTAAGATACTTTTTTTCACGTGTCACTAGACCAGATTGCCAAATGTCTTGTCACAAGAATGCCTTAAAATTCATGCAAAAAAATGAGTAACATTTTTGGCAAGGCAGGGCATTGCAGCACTGGAAGAGAGAAATCTTGGAGGAATCGAGACAAACACACAGCTGGGAGCTGAAAAGGCTTCGCCAGCCACTCACTGTGCCCATCCCAGATGATTTATTTGCAGAATTCCTAAAGGCGGTAGGCTGCCGGGGCAAGAGTGGCGAGGGGGGGGTGGAGAACCCAGCGGAAAACGGCTCCAAGCAACAGCCTCGCAGGGAAACAAAACCAAGCATCCTTCGAACAAGGACGCCAGGAGGGAGGCAGGAGGACGCGTGGGGCACGGCACGGAGAAGAGGGAGGAAAGGCTGCTGCTGCCACTGACATCACCCCGGGGAGATTTCCATTTCACGATGTCATTTACCAATCCCTGCAGCCGCCGGGGCGAGCGGCGGAGCGGGGATGCTCCGAGCGGCCCCGGCAGCCGGTCGCGCCCCCTCCGCGCCCCCGGCTCGCTGCGGGGGGGCCGGGGCCGGGCCGGCGGCGCGGGCGGGGCGGGCCGGCAGCGCGGGGCCCTTTAAGAGGTGCCGGCGGCGCGGGAGGGCGGCACAGGGCCGGGCGTGCGGGGAGCCACGGGCCCGGCGCGGGCAGAGCCACTGCCGAACCCTGCGCACCGGCCCCGGAGCCCGCTGAGCCCAGAGCCGCTACACCGCGCCCGCCTCCCGCTGACCGACCCCCGAGTCCTGCTACACCGACATCCATTGCACAGACCGCACCACACAGAGATCCACTGCACGGATCCCCGGACCCCCACCGGGCGGACTCCGCCGCGCGGACCCCCGCATGCCACTACGCCGACATCCACTGCACGGACCCCACTACACAGAGATCCACTGCGCGGATCCCCAGACTCCACCGGGCGGACGGACTCCACCGCGCGGACCCTCCAGCAGCCCCGCCTGCGAACCGCATCGCCCCGAGCCCGGGCGCACGGTGCCCGGAGCCGCCGGTGCGGGGGGCATGGCACCCGGGGGGAGCCGGCCCTGGGGGTCTCTGCTGCCGCTGCTGCTGTTGCCGCTGCTGCCGGCGGCGGGCGGCGGGTGCGCGGCGGAGGGCGGCCCGCTGGAGCCCTTCGATGCGCTGTACGCCAGCGGGGTGGAGGCGTACTACGGCGGGGATTTCGCGGGCGCGGCGCGGTGCCTGGAGCGGGCGCTGCGCAGCCGGCGGGAGCTGCGGGCGGCGCGGCTGCGGTGCCGGCGGTCGTGCCGCGGGCAGGTGCGGCTGGAGGCGCCGGGCCCGGGCGCCGGCGGGGACCTGCCCTTCTTTGGGTCGGTGCTGCGGCGGGCAGACTGCGTGCGGCGCTGCGAGGAGCCGCGGATCGGGGCCGCCTCCCGACACCGCGCCGCCGAGGAGGTGCGCGCCGACTTCCAGCGCAGGGTGCCCTACAGCTACCTGCAGCGCGCCTACATCCAGGTAAGGCACCGCCCCGCCCCGTCCCTCCTCACCGCCCTCTTCACAGGGTTACCTGCGCTTCCCTGTTCCCAAACGTCCCACTTGCACCTCTCTCAAGCCACTCAGCTATGGTCCCCCTTGCAGCGATCTCACTGGTGTGTGCGGTCAGTGGTCATGGCCAGTTCCCGAGACAGAGCATCCTGGATGACAACGTGGACTCTGTCCAGCTTTGACTTTCTTGTACTTTTCCTGTTTTGTGTTTGTTTATTTGTTTTGGGCTGGTTTGTTTGTTTTCTGGGAAGGATGTTTTTGTTTGTCTTTTAGTATAACATAGCGTAATTCTGAAAATAATCTGCCTTCAGTTTGCAGAGAAGAGCCCCCAGAAACCCCTTATTAACCCTCCAATGCCCTCTGTCCCAGAGGTGCTTCCCTTTCAGGCATGTTGAACTGATGCTGTGTTTGAGGAGGTGGAAGTGTACGTGAGGCTGGGAGGTATATAACCTCTTCTCCTGGAATTTGATGTTCGTTATCCTTGATGTGATGTGAAATACTTTGTGTAACACTATGCAGTAGTTAGCAGCCACTGACATCCTGAGTATCATCCTCTTATCACAGTCACTTTTGCCTTATAGCTGCTACCTTCTCTGAGAAAAATGATGTCATTCTTTGAACTTCTTTGCCAAAAAGAAGGAAAATAAATAATAAAAAACCCCAGCAAACCCCCACCAACCCATACTAGGATAGTTAATGATATTTTTTTTTATTCATTCAAGATTTTTGCTCTGTCAAGCCATCTCCCTATACTAAATCTTCCTGTTCATGACTAGTAAGGACAGAAACTGTGGGAATTTTGTTTCATGCCAAGCTGCATGTTTAAAGCATTTCTGGAGCATCTCCCTCTGGGTTTATTTGAGTACATTCATAGCCTTTTAGTTGCTATAGGCAATCTAATACATGAAGACCTGCACAGTGGAGCACAGGAGGGGTGATTCTGCTGAAATCCATTTCCATTTGGAGAGGCAAACATCTGTCCTAGGCAGTGCAAGTGCCTGTGGTGCAGTGCCTACACAGCAACACATCAAAGAGGCAAATCATCAACTATTGCATTTTGAAACCTTTTGGAAAATCACAGCTACATTGCTTTTTCTGTACTTCCTTTTCTGACATTGCCTTAATGTCAGTTTTACAACTCAAAGAATAGAACTGCATTGGCTTAAACTCTAGTGTCCACGTGCTGCACAGAGTTCCTGAAAGAAATCCTGGGAGTGAACTGGAACTGTATCTCGGCTTGTGCACAATGCCAGTGAAGCTGACAGAATTTTCCTGCGATCCTTACTATGAAAGATTCTCTTTGTAATGTCAGCATTTGTGGGAAGTGACACTAAATTTGCCAGATTAAGTGATTTCTTGTCTTGATTTCAAAACCTTTTCCAGACTCACTGATGTCAAACTCATTGAAAAGCTTTCCTCCGAATTAGGGAATAGGTTTTTTGTCTCCCACTTCAGTAAAATTGATTTACCAAACTCCAGAGGATTTTGGGGGTGTGGGCTGGTCTTGCAGTAGTTAATGCATTTATGCTCTAATGCTGAGACTGAGGTTATTTTCCTCATTTTAGATTGCATTCTAATCTTATCAAAGCAATGTGTTGAAAGCAGCCCTTAAAAAATTTATTTTATGTGTGACTCAATTTGCTTTTGCAACATCTGGAGACTTTTTGTGTATGCTAACAACCGATTTTGCTGCTCTCTGAATAGTGGATATTCTTGTTGTCTGCGTGACTGTCCAGGTGTCGAGCACTGTAGCCAAGGGAAGGTACTTTTTGAGTAGACCTGTTCACGTTTTCAGTAAGTTTTTCTTGAACCCTTTCTGAGGCTCTTGGGTTTTCTAGGCAGCACCCCAGTCAGCTTTGTCCCACAGGGCAACCTCCAGTGATTTGTCCACATCCTCACCTTGCTGCTGCCTGAGCTCTGCTCCCAGGACTGCACTTTTGCTCTGGCTCAACAAGTCTGTGCGCAGAAGAAAATACTCCACATCGGATTTGCCTGCACTTGCACAAAACATGAGGTCTGACGTTTAGCCCTTACATACACTCGGATGTGAACCATCCCCTCATGCCAAGGCTGAGTGCCAAGGCGTTGGCATGTTCCCTGAGGGTTGGGATGCACCAGCTCCACATTCTTTGAGTAGACCTTGGCTGCAGCATCTGCTTGGCATTTTGTCTGAGAAGGGGAGCTGCAAAGCGGGGCTTGTGCAGAATCCCCCCACCTTGTTGTGGGTGTGTGGGCAGGCTGCACGGCTCCAGAGGTAGCCATTTGACCCTCGTGTTTTGCTCCTTGAAACCAAAAAAGGAGATGGGATGAGGTTAAACACCCTGCTGCGTGTCCTGTCCAGCTCCTCCCCGGGCTGCGTGGGGAGGCTGGGATGCCGGGCACTTGTGTAAGGTGCTGGACGGATGGCAGGGTTTGGTGCCATTTGTGGTTTGAGAGAAGAGGAGCAGCCTGGAATGTCCTTCCCACCTCCCACTCCCGCAGACTTCATGCTTGTTTGTTTCTCAGGAGGGGAGAAGCACATCCCTTCAGGAGGGAGTGACAGAGCAAGGAAAAGATGAAAAAAATTGAAGGGTTTGGCTCTTTTGCAGTGCTTTGAAAAATGGTGCTGAATATACATGAACTAATCCTTGCAACACTCTGTGGGGTAGGAAAAGCAAAGGCTTTGAGTCCTGCTGGACAGATGCATAGGCCAAACACTGGCCAGCACTGCCTGTGCCTCAGCTGTTTTGGGAGCAGGCTTGGGGCTCCTGCTGCCTCTGGTCTCTCACTGCAGAGCAAGCACCAGTGTAGTCTGGCCCAGTTGTGAGCATGTGAATGAGACTTTGCAGTGAATTGGTGGAAAACTGGTGCTAGAATTGGAGGTCTTTGACTTTTTTGCTGCTTTTTTTGCTTTTTTTGGACTTTTTTTACTGGACTGTAGCAGCAGCTGTCCTGGGCTGCATTGCTTCTGCTGCTGAGCAGATGCTCAAGATACTCCTGCACAGAGCACTATAAAGAGGCAGAGAGGTGATGATGTGTTTAGGTGAAATACCCATGGTATCCCTCTGTAAGATATTCCATCAGCCTCTAAATCCATGTCATCCTATCAGTCTCCTAAATTTATCTTTTTTCTCTGTACTTTTCTGAAGTAGAAACAGTGGTCTTCTGAAGACCACTTTTCTGTTTCACAGATGTGATCTGTGTGGTTTTGGTGACTGTAGCATGATGTGAGGGGAGACTGTGGTGGACTGCAGGAATGGGACAGCTTGAGGATTTAGCTGGAGGTTTCTATCAGCATCAGGATCAGGCCTCTGAGGTTGACTGCAGACTCTATAGAGACTATAGACAAATTGTATTGAACAAGCAGCCCAAGTCCAAATGTGCTTGCAGATCTTTGGAGCTTCTGAATGTGCACTGTAAGTGGGAAGATTCTTCCTTTTCCTAGGATAGCTGATGCTTTCAGGTAACTGAGAAATTTACTGGCTACAGGTAGCTGAGGCAGTTAGGATGGAATGGGTTTGAGAAGGTGTGGAAACAGAGAAGGAGATGAGAACATGGGATTTAACTCTTGTGAAACATGTGTTGGGCTTTTGATCCCACAGAGAAAAGGTCCTTCAGTGGGTTTCTGCTGTCATGTCCCACAGGCAGGACAGTTTACCGTATGCTGGTGGCTCTCTGCTGTATGCTGGCTCTTGGTCTTTGTCAGCGAAATACCCTCTAGGCTTGGCAGGTGGGTGTGAGGGGATCTCTTTGCCCTCATAAATGTTTTTATTAATCATGTCCTTCTTGCTTTGCTGCTTTAGTCATCTTGTTTCTGTTAAAACCTAGCCTGCAGGCCATGATGTTCCTAACCCTCCTTTTTGGAGTTCTTCTAACTCTGAGAGTGAGTGGAGGGAGAAAGAAATGTACACAATGTACATTATGACAGCATTTGCTGCTGTGTGCTGCTGACTCAGTAGCCGTGTCGGAGCTTGCTGTGGATGGTCTGCCATGAACCCTGTGACAGAGCATTACTTCCAGTCCCTGGTCTAACTCCTGCAAGTCAGCTTGGTCCAAAAATAACAAGCAACTTGGAAAAACTGATCACTGTATCAACTGCAAATGTAAGTCTTGTGTCTCTTCTACCCTACTATCTCTTCCCTTGAGGTCTCTTTCTTTTGTCTCATCCTGTTCCCAGCCACAGAACTCCCTGGCCTGTTTGCTGGGTTGATTGCTATAGTCCATTTTAATTTTCTTCTTTGTATATTGATGTGCTGTTATCGAGCACTTCCTCCCATTTTGTAAATACTGACTTGCAATGGTCTTGTCTTCCCACTTGCCTGTATGCCCCGTTGCACATCAGTGAAGCATGTCAGGAATCGTACGTATGTAGTCTGTAACCACCAGCCTTGGATCTAGATGAGAAAAAGCCTTTTAGTCTGTGCTTGGGTTTAAAACAATAAATAAAGCAAGTCCCCAGCATGTCAGACATTGCTCCTCTCTTAGTAATGCCAGATTGTAGGTGGAGCAAAAGGGGCAAGAGTCTGACTGCATCTGGCTTATTCAGTCCTTATCTTGAATTCCCCCCTTGCCGTATCTGAGATGTTCTTCAGTTCTGTTATCATCATGGTTTCATGTGTTGCAAGCATAAAACGATGTTTAGGTTTTCTGTGTTGTACGGGAGGCTGTTTATTTGTTCTTTAAAGCTGTTTCTTTTTTTAAAAAAAGGTCTTGTTTGGGGAGAACTTCCACTTTTATCTTCTCTGTCGGGTCTTTCACGCTGCAGCTGATGGGAGCGCGTCCTTGGGTCACACTGTGCTGTCCTGCCACCCACACCGCCAAGATTTCTGAAATGCAACACAGACACAATAATGACTTGATAAAAGACCACGGGACAGAAACAAAAGAAACAGAGTGGGAACCCAAACTTCAGAAATCCCTGTAGTATAGATCATTGCCTGACTCCAGTTCTGTCTTTGAAAACTGGCTGTTTATGAGAATCCAAACCCAAG